GCTCCTGCAGGAAGCGGCGCAGGCCCAGCCCACCGGGGGAGGGGCAGCCCGCACCCCCGCCCCGCCGCCCGGCACTGCCGGCCGCGCCTCCCCGAGAAGGGAAGCCGGGAGTGCGGGCGGGAGGGGGCGGGGGCGCTTAAAGGGGCCGCGGCCGTCTCCAGGCCCCGGGAAGGCAGCGTTGCCTGCGGCCCTGGCCTCGGATTCGGCGCTCCCTAGGCCCAGGCCCGGAGGCAGTGTGAGTCACCCTCACGGCCCCATCTCCTTCGCTCTCTGCCTGGAGGGTGGCCTGGGGGACGCTTGGCCCAGGGACAGGGAGCTGAATGGGTGGGGATCATGGAAAAGAGGAAGGAGCTGGGGGCTCCGGCTTCTCTCCAGGGCAAAGGGGATTGCCTTGGGGTACACATCTAACTCTGGTTGAGGGGAGGTGTGCGTCCTTGTCCCTCTTGTGTCCACATGTCTGTGACCAGGTGTGTGTACACACCCTGGCTAAGTATGCACACAGCCAACAATATGGACACCCAGGTGCAGGAGAGGTCATGCGATGTGTCCCTCTCCCCTGCTTGCGGACTAAAAATACATAGGTTTCTCCCATCCATACTTCTGTCCAGAGAGGAAAGAACTGGGCAGTTTTTAAAGACCTCTGGAGTAGTGACCGCTGTGTCCATGTGCGCCTATATTCACTTGTCATCCACTTTGCATACATCCCTGGCGTTTCTAGGCCACCAGAGGTGTGTGTCTGTGTGCATATAATTTAAGGGGCCTTTTCTTGTGAAGGCCTTTCTTCTTGGACTTCATAAGGAGAGACTGATGAGGGATGTGGGTCGGGGGCCGGGAGTGGAGGTGCAGGCTGCACGTGGGTGCACCCCCGCACTGAGCATGCTCCCCTGTACACGTGTGCCCTGCATGCATGCACCCAACCCCCATCCTTGCAGCAGCAAAAGGCCCCGGGCACTCTATTTGTAAGGAGAGGACAGAGGTGCCCAATACCAGGCTGGGGGCCAGGGCAGTGGTGACCCAATTAAGGAAGGGTTCCCCAAGTGTCAGGCACTGCTACTCAGTAACAAGGGGGGAGTCCGTGGGCAGGAGTGCCCGAGTTGGTCGGTTCATTTATCCCAGAGGTGCCAGAGCACCAGTGACTTGTAGGTGGGCAGGATCCTTCCCTAGGGGAGACAGAGATGCTCATGAGTCACACTACCCGAAATACATGCAAAGCTGTCTCCATCGCTTTTCGCTGCAGCCCAGATTGACAAGTTTGTTTGAAATCGCGACTCACGGGGTATTTTTATAATCACACCTTAAAAAATTTTGCAGCCCCCCTCCCCAGTCAACTGCTCAGCTGGTGGGGCTCCTGCAATCAAAGAGAACTTGTGTGTGTGTGTGTGTGTGTG